TGCAATTGCTGAATTGCATAAATAACAGCAACAAGCAGACAGCTGTCGACCCATGCACTAACCAGCATGGTTAAACTTAAATAAATGACACACGTCCAATCCAAACAGAGCACTCGCCCACAGCACGTGTCTTCACCGCAATGGCCACTTCACTCCCCATAATGATTAAATGATATATATTGCATAATTATATTATCCCCCTTGCCGTCTGCCGAAAGAGGAGAGGAGAGGAGAGATGCTTCACAATCACCATGTAATTGTAACGACACGTGGAATACAAGTGTCCCCTTGGCAGAGACACGTGTCGAGACCATGTGACCTGCTTAGCGGTTATATATATCCCCTCCACTTCCCCTGCCATTCGAAACCGACAAAACGAAGACTTTGTAAGAGTGAAATAGGAGAAAAGAAAGAAACCTGTACATATTAGCTGGTGCGGTATCAGTCCAGAGTTTTCGTATACACAGAGACGGACAGAGAGCAGGAGAATGTCGTCGAATCAGCCTCAGGAGCATTACTACAGAGCTGGCCAAGCCGAAGGCCGCGCTGAGGTATATGCGGATATACCTCTTCCCTAACCACAACCTTCTTCTCTCAATTCATTTATAAGGAAGGAGGCTAATACTATAGCTGTTTTTTTTTTGGGGTGAGTGCAGGAGAAGACTGGGAGGGTGGCGGACACGGTGAAGGAGAAGGCTCGGTCAGCAAAGGAGACGGCCGAGCAGAAGGCTCAGGAGGCGAAAGAGAGGGCTGCCCAGACAGCGCAGGAGGCCAGAGAGAAGGCTGCACAGGCGGCGGAGGCGACCAAGGAGAAGACGTACGAAGGGAAGGAGAAGACGAAAGGGGTGCTGGCGCAGACGGGGGACAAGGTGAAGCACATGGCCGAGAGCGCAGCGGACACCGTGAAGCAGACGCTCGGGATGGGCGGGCAGCAGCACGAGCAGAGCAGCACCACCGGCGGGACCGGGGAGGATCGGGTGATTCATGAGAGGCAGGAGCATGGGACGGGCGGTGTTCTGGGTGGCACCGGCGGGCAGCGTACTACTACCACCACGCGCAAGGAGTCCAATTACTAGAGGAAGTAACTGGGAGAACGAAAAATATGCGTAAGAGTCAGGGAGTGGGGGCGTGTGTGTCAAACTGTGTTTGGGTGTGTTTGGGGCAGGGGAGGTTGTTCCAGTTGTCGGCGTGTTGTGATCCTTCGTCTGAAGGAACGGCACCGTGCCGTTGTTATGGGCCAGCGGTACTTGCCGCCCTAGCTAGTTGCCTGAAAATGTTGTTTGTAAAATAAAACACCTGTGTATTTCGCTTGGTACTATACAACGTGAAAATCGTCTTATCAAAATTTCAGCTGGTATATTAGTATGAAATCGTTGCATTGTAATTTGAAGTACCACATTCAGAAAGTATTTTGTATCCGGTCAGGATTGAATTTTATGTATTATTTTCGAAGCTGTCGGGGTTGAATTTTCGATCCCATAGGTTAATGGCCGCTAAAGTAACTGAATAACCGATAAATATGGATAAATTACCCTGCTTAAGTCAGTTATATACTTGTATCCAACACAGCAAAAGGTACCACCCGAAAAGAATATTTGATGAAAATGAAAACATAGGGAGGTTCCGGGGGATTGGTTAATTGCTCATAAGTTGGACCGAAATTAAGTTTGGAAACGTGGGTCTGGTAAGGTATGGGCCTAACTTCATAGCCCATGACTTTGTTGGGCTGTTCATCTTCGTGCAACGATAGAAGAGTTTCAAAGTTGACACAACGCTTGATGCCGTGCGCGCGGTGTGGTTTTTCTGGGAGAAGCTAGGATGCTATACCGTTCTACCTATTATCCTCATCGTCCATCACTAATTCTAATCTAATAGCTATGATGAAAACACTAATAGACCGAGCACATGCCTCCCATCGATCCAGCGCTTGAAATTTTCTGTTTGGTATGTCATATTCAGAAATAAAATGAACTGTAGTGTAAAATTCAATGTCAAATGAATTACTGTGTTTGGTATATCATAGTCATATATATAAGTAATTAGTTAATAAAGAGGGGGTGCCTTCTATGGTACCCCGAGTGAAATCGGGATATCGCATACCTTAGTATGAAACCGCTATCTTGACCTCGAATTAACAGGATTTTTGGGCATGATACTATACCCTAACTCTTAATGAGTGAACCCTAGGTCCTAATTATCTAAATCATAAACTATAAACGCTAAGATGGTAGCTTGGAGGGGATTGATGGTAGCTCGGGCGTGGATCGTAGTATGAGCTAGGGTGGGGATCATGATGGTAGTTCGGGCGGGGATCTTGATGTGAGCTCGGACCGCCACCGTGTGCCAAAACCAGGGGGGGGGGGGGCAGCACTCTCCACACTTCCAACGGCCTTATCTCGGAGACATAAGGTCTTTCCCGAACCTTCTTGTTTTTCTCTCTCGTATGGTGGGGGGCGGGCGGGGGGGGGGGGGGGGGATCAACTTGTACCGGAGGTGGCACCGGTGCGGGTATGGGCGGGTATCTACGATGATCACGATCCTGTGCTCTGATACAGCCAAGCAGACTGTTTCTCATCCTCCTGATGTAGCTCACATCTTCACTTCCCATTTCATGTTTCCCATGGGTCAAATCTTAGATCCGCTCGATCCCCAGCCTAAATCACATAAAAAAGGTTAGCAAGATAAGACTAATGATGTGTCTCCATGAAACAAGCAATAAATTTACTTGTTTATACGAAATCTACTTACCAATGCACCATCGGCCTCACCCTCCGGAGTCACGTATCGAACCGATGTTTGCCAATATCTATCCATGTATGGGTCATGATACCCCATTCGACCCACATTTGTTGGAGTGACAATCTGCTGAAGTTGTCGGTTCTCCCATATCGTGATCATGCCACCAACTTCGTGGGCCAATCGTGAGTACCTTGCCGACCATCTCGGTGGTGAAACACCCTTTGACTCTCAGGGACCCCAACGGAATGCACTGCTCCCGACCAAACTGACGAATGCATCGATCCGACAGGTGCCACTCCACGGTCCCTAAACAAATGAGAGGGACCCTCGTGCACCATTGCCCGATATGACCGGGGAATTGCTGTAAATGCCAATGAACGATGTTCGCCGGGTATGGATCGGATTTGATCTGCAAAAAGAAATGAGTAACTTAAGTTAAACAAAATTGGAAAAATACATGTACTCCATGAAAAAAAGTTATAGCACTTCGAAGTATTCTAGTTACCTCTCCTTCCCAAAGTCGCTCTAGCCTCCTCCGATACTCTACCAACTTGTGTTGGGCAAGGTTGTCGCATGTTGAGGCTCCAACCCACCTTATTAATAAGACAAAAATATAACTACAATAAGCTAAATCATAAGGAAAATTGAGTTATTAAAATCATGATGGGGTATGAGAAATTTACCTACAACCATAAGCTTCGAGTGTTTGGGGATGATCGGGACCCCAATTGCTGTTGGGACATTTGAGCGGTGCAATCCATGGTAGATGCTCCCAAGCCCAAAATTGGACGATGAACATTGCGCCGCCGACCTCCCTCACAGCTTTGAGAGATGCATTGTACAAATGGTGGTAGATATTAGCTAGGCAAGCGGATGCCCAGCTCAACTCCCCCATCTCATCCCAACTACCAAGGAGGATCCTAAGCCATCCACAGTTAATTAAATTGCTCGATTTTTTTTTGGAGAAGAACACTCCTCCTATCATGCCTATGAGATAGACACGAGCATATCTTTCCTTCTCTAGCTCCGGACTTTCCTCGGTTAGGGGCATCCCATTTTTGGAAGGATCGTGAAGGTCCCTAAAATACTTCGTCAACCAAGTGATTGATACTTGGCCTTTCCTCAATGGTGGCAAGCGATCCGTCGCATCAACGCTCCCCTTGATTGGTACTTTCACCCCCCAAAACACTGTGCCTCCTAGCAAAAAATTTCACGTTATTTATGATATATTAGTAATAGTTTAATGTTAAAACAAAATTAATTAAAATTAATGATTTAATTTCGACCATAGTTTCATAATAATTATATTATTAACAATCAAATTTAAGTAATTGATTGTTTTTTACAAGATATATACATATTATCATAAAACAAACATACTCAATTAATTGACATAAATAACATTCTAAATGAATAATAATTTAAAGAGATACATATTCAAACATTTGAAATTAATAAAATTCATTTAAGTACACATAAACATAAATCGTATTGGTTGTTTAGAAGAGGTATACATCTTCTTAGAAACGCAGCATTTTTGACAGAAAAAGGGGGATCCGAGGATCTCTTAATACCCGATTTTCCCAGGAAATGGGAGGATCATGATAATCTCTTAAAACCTCATTCCCTTAGACGTGCATCTCTTTATAAAGAGTCGTAGTATGTGGCGCTATGTATTCGATTAAATTATTGAAAACAACCAATACGATTAAATTATTTCAAATTTATTTTATATTCCACTAAGTACATTAGCGAAATAAAAGAAAGACAAATGATGAAGAATTGTATGTACCTGGTGATCGTTCCAAACATCCTTTGAACGATGGTTGGGTTGGTCGTACAAGTCGGTTGGATCAATAGGTCCTTGATCCAAATAATAGAGTTGGTTGTATATATCCACTTCGTACCCAACCTACGATAGAATAACAACAAGGTTATTACATATAATAATTAAAAAGCTTATAAACACAACAAAAATTGACCAGAATAATGAGTACGTACCGCTTGAAATTCATCATAATTAACTCCCTCTCCTTGGAACTAGACGTCCATTTTTTCGCGAAAGTCGGACAGAAATTCGGCGGGTTTTGGAGGAAAAACCAAAGAAATGTTTTCTGATTGCAGATCGGACTTAGCCACAACCAACAGACCACTATTTCCTAGAATTTTGGGAGGGGAGGGGATAGAGAGATAATTTTAGAGAGAGAGAGAGTGAATATTGGGTTGTGGTGTGAAGAAATGAGAGGGGGGAGGGGGTATTTATACTATTCAGACCGCACCCTCCAGGGCCGGTCTGATAATTTTGTCCTCCCTAAAACCGCACCCTGCCAATGTGTTATGCGTTTCTCGAGGCGCTGACCTCACCTGCAAGCTGCGGTCTTTGATCCATGGCGCGGATCGCTGAGGTGGCGTGCGATCCGTCGTTGGATCGCCGCATCATCCAACGCTCTCCAAGGCCGCAAGCGAGGAAACACCAACCGCACCTTGGAGGTGCGGTTTGCTGGTTGACGTGGAATGGACCGCACCTTCCAGGTGCGGTTTATAAATAAAACGCACCGTCCTGGTGCGGTTTCAAAGAAATGTTGCCATTTTTGTAAATTTTATGGACTGGGTGCTATTTTTGTAATTTTTTGTAAAAGGTGCTATTATTGGAAAAATCCCCATTAATAATGTCATCATGTCCATTAGCGACACATTTATCTTCATCGCATACAGGTAGACCTTGATGGTAATATATATTTACAAATATAAATCATATTTTTCATAGGAGTAGAATTTACCTCGTCCAAGTTTTGAACAATATCTAGGATTTATTTTTTCTCCCCATCACTTCTTTATATCTTCTTCATGAACAATGTCTTTCTTCTTCTAAGAAATAGAAACGAATAGCCTCGAAAAGGAAGGGTTATTTTCTCTCGTTTTATCGAGGGTTATATTGAGGCGGCGGAAACCCTAGGTTTTCCGTACAAAGGTCGGCGACCAAACTGGATCTCTACGATAACAGAGGTAGAAAAGGACAACGTTTCCTTCTTCAAGTAGGTTACAGAGTTGGAATCACAATCCTATTTAGCCGATTACAGTGAGTCAAGGAAAAGGATTCCCTTGTGAAGAGTTACAAGCAAGCAAATAAAGGAAGAGTGGAAAACAAGAAAGGTGTAGCTGCCCTGTTACACCATGGTAGAAGCTCACAAAACAACAATGGAAGCAGTGGCTGGGGAGGAACCCTTGGAACTCCGCAGCACGGATCAAATAACTCTGGGGGACGAGGATGATGCCCCTCTAGAGGTGGAGGATAGTGACGTGGATGTGGTGCATATGGAAGCGGTGCGCCAGCTAGGGTTGATAGGGCGCCTGTTAACAGACAAACAACCCAATGTGAAATCCATGAAAATTGCCCTAGCGAAAGCATGAAACCTCAAGAAGAGTTTTCAAATCACAAATCTGGGTGATATGCTTTTTGCTTTTCAGTTTCTTGACAAGGATGACAGAGATAAAGTAAGCTTTGGAGGCCCTTGGCACTACGAGAACAATGCAATGGTGTTCTTGCCAAGCTTACTGATAAAGAAACCATCCCCGGAAGTTCTGCATATGATGGATATATGGATCCTAATAAGGGAATTCCCAGCAGAGCTGAGAACACAAAAGATGGCAGAGAAAATTGCAAATCGATTTGGATCACTAGTTTGGTTTGATGACAATCCAGGGACAATGTGGGACACATACATGAGGCTAAGAGTAAGTTTATCTATCAACAACCCACTAAAAAAGAAGATCAAACTGAATATAGGGGGAA